ACCGCACCCACTACTTCGATCGCTTCTTCCACCACAGCTGCTACACAGCCAATATTCGGTCTAACTGCAACCACGACTGCTGCACCATCTTTCGGTGGCATCGCAACTACTTCCACCACGACTGCACCCCTGTTTGGCTTGAGTACTACTGCAGCGTCAACGACTCAGTCGACGCCACTGTTTGGAACAGCAACTACTAGTACAGCTACTCTAGGTGGAACAACAACAGCACAACCATTGTTTGGTGCTACAACAACATCTGCATCTGCGCCTCTTTTTGGAGCTGCTACAACTACTTCGGCACCGGCTTCTGGTCTTTTGGGATCGTTGTCTGCCCCTAAAACCACCGGCGGTCTGTTTGGTGCCACTACAACAGCGACAACTACTACATCTGGAGGTCTACTTTTCGGAAGTAAACCGGCTACTACGACCACTACGAGTTTGCTGGGAACGACAACTACACCACTGTTTGGCGCAAAAACAACATCGGCTCCATCGCTCTTTGGAGCTGCGACTTCTATAGGTGGTGAGTTTAGCAGAGCCTCTTTTTTCTTTTTCTCTAGTTTGATTTTTAGGTGTTACTCAAACAACAACAGCACCATCACTGGGTTTGGGAGGAACAACTCAAACATCAGGTTCGTATCAGAATGTTGCTGAATCTGGCTCGTAGCGTACCGCTAGACTGTGATCTGTTTTATGTAGTTAATTGTTCAACTGATCCATTCACTTTGCTTGACGAAGAATAACGGTAACTACTATGACGATTTCAGCTAGATTAAGAGCACTTTTTCTTATCCAGAGATGTACCAATATTTCCTTCATGCTTCTCGTCCTTCTCTTGCGCTTGACTTTTTTGTCTATCGAATTTTTCTCAAGTTAGGAAGTGATCAACGATTACCTTCTTTTCATATGTCGAGCCCATGAGGATGTTGATTTAGGGCTTAGTGCTACATTAGGAACAACGACTACTGCTGGAGCAGCTGCTGAAAAGGAAAACCTTCGAGAAGGTGTTGTTCCAAAACCCATCCGTGAAGTTGCTATCCAACTAAGGTAGGCCTACTCCTTTTTTCTTTTTTAGGCAATTACTTATAATTTTTTTAGAGAAAAGTTGAAGGAGAACCGCAGACTGGCCGATGAGTTTGCAGCAGCATCAACTGACCGCAGT